GTCCGAGCATGTGAATTTGGAATTTAAAATTTTTTTAGAAACAAAAATATTTTTTTGTGTGACAGTGTTTGTTTCCTGTTATAAATGGCCCCAATCTCTCCCAAAGATGCAATTTAATTGCCCAAAAACTCTCAATAGCTTATCTCATAAACTAAGGCCTATTTAATCATAAGTATAACGTCCTGAAAAATCCTCATCTCCACACTCCCAAAGCATCTACAACTACCACTGAAGCCCTCTCTGTCTTAAACCAAAATGGAATTGGCAAAAAATGATTTTTGTTGTCTGTCTCCCCCCACTAAACTCCAAGCTTTACATGAGGGCAAGTCCTGTCTGCTTTTGCTTGTCACTCTATCTCTAGCACCCAGGGACAGTCCTTGGTACACAGCAGGTGATTAATAAATCTCTCTTAAAAATGAAAAATGAATCCATCATAAATGTGAACAGAGAGAAAAGAGCACCTTACTTTATGGGCCAATTGTTTTAGAAAGTGTTTTTTTTTTTTTTCTTTCTTAAAGCAGTAGTTTGTTTTGGGGGTTATTTTTATAATCTAGCATAAAAATAATCAAATATTGTCTATTAAATGATTTTATTTCTACATGTAGACTGTATGTGCCTGTGGAGCATCAATAGTGACTCTTTTATTCTCAGGCCTAAAACAAAATTAAGGAGAGTTAATTTGCTCCTAGAAAAGAAAAACTGATGTTTCAAAATAAAATTACTAATACATTTTCTTTTTATTGAATTTCTAGAGCACTGATCACCAGCCCTGCTTCCATTAACTTTGATAATCAGGATTTAACCCAGTAGTGAAATTCCCTCAGCTAGAGGACCATAAATTACCCACAATATCACAAAAGAGGATATATGGAGGAAACAACTAAAGATTTTTTTTTAAGTTAACATCATGATAGAAAAGTGCTACTAGGTAAATACAGCATATAGAAATTTTTTGTAAAACACTTTACTTCTGAAAAAAATGTCAAAAGTATTCCTGCAAATAATAAATACAAGGTGCTTTGCTGAAAAATATTGTACTGACATCTGGCACATTATGTTCTATAAGATAATAACATACACATCTGCTCCGCAGGAGTCTCAGAACACTAAAGTAATGTTCAAGTACTTCGTAAACCACATCCGTAGAAGCTAATGATATAATGTAATAAATATTAAGCATGTCCTTGATACACATTTATAAACGGTAATAACAGTATTTGCTTACCACAGCTCGCAGACCAAGACAGATGAACTTTATTAATCACTCAAATACCGTAAGTGGTGCTGCCATCAGTTCTGTGATTTTCCAAAACCAATGAACAATTCTTAACACGGGTCTGAATGAAAAGTGAAATCTTCCCTAGAGATGCACATGTGTTAGGCCACTGCGCTGATGGTGAATGAAACGGATTCCCTGAATCCGTGCCCTTTGCCCTGTAACTTGGCGGTCCCCTCCTACTCTTTATCCTGAATTTGGCAGCATGACTTCCTTTGGCAAGCTATTCACAACTGTAATGCAAGCATTACAACAGATTGAAGTTATACACTCAGATGACTGTAAACAGGTTTTCCCACATAGAAATGTCTGGAGGAACACTGAAAGCATGTGCAATGTAGGTGAATTCTGTTCAACACACGGGTTGCTGAGTCATTCAGCAACCACCGTGCTTACCTGCGTAAGCCTGCACCCTCCAATCAGGACCAGCTAACTGACCCTCAGAACACTAACCCCGGGAGGGAGGAGACCCCAGGACCGCCGCCAGTCAATATACTCTCTTTTAACTGATGAAACACTCATCCTCAGGTATGACCCCTTCATGCACATTACGTAAGACGGGCAGGGCCTTTTTAATCCAAAATATATGTGATTGAGGATGGTCCTCAAACACAGTGACACACAGTTGGAATATGGCAACATGTTTTAAAATGAAAAATTAACATTTGCATGCTTTCTCTATGCATGTTAAACTTAATATTTAAATGTTTACATAAGATAAAGTGATAACAGAGCACCTGCACTTGGAAGTCTATCAAGTTTTTGCTAGGCTGTGCTGACCATCCTGCACTTTATAGTATCAATCCTTACCTTCTAAGTAAGCACCTCTTAAGTTTTTAAGAACACAGATACTGTTAATATTAGTAAGAATTAAATATACCTAGCCCAAGACTTTGATTCTAAGATGTTCTTAGGGACACAAGAAACTATGTGTGTCTTCCTTAACAAGTATTTAAAAGGTTGGTATATTTTCTAACAGTACGCACTATAGTAGATTTCCCTTTCTCTTTGTGCAATGTGTTTGCTCTGCCTTCAATATCTTTTCCTGCCACAGGGCGCCTGGTTTGCTCAGTCAAAAGAGCATGCAACTTCTGATCTTAGAGTCATAAGTTCAAGCCCCACATTGGGTGTCAAGATCACTTAAAAATAAAGAAAGAAATAAACTTAAAAACGAACAAATCTCTTTTCCTGCCAGCTCAGGTCCTAAATGTTTTACCTCTATGAGATCTTCCCAATTCTTTCCTTTTCACCCACAGTTTGAATCTGTCCTTCCAGATTATTTCTGATACTTCTTATTCTTGTCATTAGTTATCTAACATATGCTATAACTGTTACATATCTGCCTCTCCAACTACACTGTAAGCTCTATGTCAGCTAAGCCTCTGAGACACACCCATAACTGCACCCACAGTACCTCGCACACCCACAGCACCTCGCACAGTGACTGCCCTGGCAAGGGCTTTAAGTGGCCTATCAGTCTGCATGGCTCTTTTCGGGATTTAAAATCCACGAACCCATTCCAGTCATCTCTAACATTCATATTTTGTTTCTACTTTTTTCTTCAATTTTTTTTTTGAGACAGAGGGTCAGATTGTGAGTGGGGAGGGGCAGAGAGAGAGGGAGACACAGAATCCGAAGCAGGCTCTGAGCTGTACGCACAGAGCCCGACGTGGGGCTCAAACTCACGAACCGCGAGATCATGACCTGAGCCGAAGTTGGACGCTTAACCAACTGAACCACCGAGGCATCCCTGTTTCCACTTTTTGATATGAGTTGCCTAAAATTGTTTCCTTGCCTATATTCTGAATTTATTTTGATGTCCATCTTAAAAACTGCCGTATTCAACAACATGGGTGAACTTTGAGGACACTATGCTAAGTGAAATAAGCCAGTCACAGAAGGACAAATACCGTATGATTCCACTCACATGAGGCATCTAAAACAGTCAAACTCACTGAAGCAAAAAGTAGAATGGCAGTTGACAGGAGCTGGGAAGGGAAATGGGGAGCTGCTATGCAGTGGGTATAAAGTTCATTCATACAAGATGAGTAAGTTCCAGAGATCTAATGTACAACACTATGCCTACAGGTGAGAATACTGTATTGACACTTAAAATTGTTTTCAGAGAGGAGATCTTATGTTGAATGTTCTTATCACAATCAATCTTGTATTTTGAGGCCAATCTTCACCTAACCTTAGCTACTTACTGACAGGTGCAGATGTTTTTACCTAGCCTCTCCAATAGACTGTCACCTTTTTAGTTCTATTTCTCTGACGTTACCTATGATCATAGATTTTTCATCTAAGAGCAATAATATTTTATTTCTGACTCCCTATTTCAGATATCCAAAATTTTCCATACTAGGCCAACATTCTAAGAGTGTAATTAAAAGTTTGCACTGCTAGTTTAATCCCAAACTTTATATAAACAATTCAAATTATATTTTAATCAGTAAATATATTATTCTGTACTGTCATTACAAATCTTCTGCCCTTTCTCCTAGCTTTAGATTTTCCCACGTCAGTCTGAAACTTGATTCCACAAAATAATTTTTTATCAGCAAAATTTGGGAGACTTCAAAGTGTGCTCACTTCTCTGAATCATGCGTTTAAAAATATCTCATAATCTTGAATTTATACCTCTTTGCTGTTTTAGAGCCAAAATCAGATGTGCGAAACAAGTAGGCAAGCAAGTTTAAGATATTACTTGCTTAAGGAAGAAAGAGAGGCAAGTAAAAATGCCTACATATATTCTGAGGGTGAACAATTAAAATGAATAAAATACTAAAACAACTTTTTTCTGTCTCTTATATCAAAAATATGCAAACAGAATAGTATAACTAAAGTAATTATTTCCTTTCCATGAAGTAATGAAATAATTTTTTGGGTCAATTTTATAGTTTTTCAATGCCAGATCACCACTCTCATGAACACATGGTAAAAACATAGAACTAAAAACAAGAAAGCAAACAAAACAGAATGGCATTGCTGGAAGGCCATTAAAACAGACTTAGAATGAAACAGCTCCTCTCCAAGTTCTTCTTGGGCTCCCCTTCATGCTGGGCTCTCCCCCAGCACTGCCAGCCTCCTCCCTACCCAGCACCTGCTCAACACAAAGTTCAACATATAATAAAAAGATAGGAGGGGACCTCAAGCAAAAGGTGATTACACAATGGCCTAACAAAAGTTTACTCTTTTGGTCTTTTAAAGTAAACACTAACAATTACCCCCATACTAGATGTCTTCCAAAAATGGCTTTTACATTCAACACTGATGAACTTTAGATACATGTTTCACCTCAGGATAAAGGTATTTTTGCAGTAGATATTAATTCTAAGTACATTACTAAATGAGTACTAAATGAGTACATTACTAAAAGTTATTTTTGTGTGAAAATAACTTTTTAAACAGTGAAATCCACCATCTTTTATTTTTTAATGTTTGTTTATTTTGGAGAGAAAGAGAGCGAGCGAGCACGGGGGACGGTCAGAGAGAGAGGGGAACAAATAATCTGAAGCAGGGTGTCTGCTGACAGCAGAGAGCCCGATGCGGGGCTCAAACTCACGAACCCTGAGATCATGACCTGAGCCGAAGTCGGACACTTAACCGACAAGAACCACTCAGGCAGCACCCCTCCACAGTGAAATCCACCATTCTAAACAACTTATTAAACCTTATTAAAACGACTGCCAACAAGAAAGTTAAAAATTGTAAAAACACTTACTTCATTTCCATGTTTCTGCAGAAATTCAATTTCCTGTTGTGTGAATGTTGTCATGGAGATAGATTTCACCCTGTGTGGTGGATTTAACCCTCTCCTAGAAGATAAAATATTTTACAAAGTTACTATATCTTAAAAATTACACATCAATGTAAAACATTTTTAATTAGTGCATTTAAACGTAGAACAGTTCACTCCATAAACTAAAAGTATTTAAAAATTATTTTATTATTAATCTCCACAATAGATATGTCAAGATAAGTCAGATTCACACTAAATAATATATTTAAAGATAAATTCAGGTAACTATCTAATTAGGAATACATAGTACCTGTAATACATGAGCTTCTTGGAAATACAAAAGTTGCTTTAGTGTGTTTCTAATGGAAGGACAGGACTACGTAAGAGCTCTATGGTAAAGAATTCAAAAAGCAATTAATCATTTAAATATTTTCACATTTCCTAAGAAAATGACAATGGTTTGTTAGAGGTCTGGAGCTATACAAATATTCTAATCAAATAGCTACTACCTTTAAGCTTGAGGCTGATTTGAAAACTGAAAACTAACCCAAGAAAACTGGAAATGATTAACCTGTAAGAATGAAGTCCCACCTCTCCCATCAATTCAAACAAAAATTTATAATAAAAGGATATTTTCAATCATCTCAGAAGGCAGTAAGCATTCAAGACGAAACCGAAGAGACATAAAGGGACTCAAGAAATGCCTGGACTCAAGATTAAAAATGCCTGTTAAGTTCTTTTACAACCTTAGTCTTTTCTGTATAGGTGGCCTTAAAAGGACTTTATCTCTGCGCTTCTTGATGTTTACAATGCACGTAAAAAACTGAATAGAAATGCACTCAAAGAAGAAAAAAAACTATTTACATTTTGCCCAAAGTGACCTACTCAACCCACAAAAATAAGGGTTAAATAATCTATGCAAAGTAACAAGTAATCTATGCAAAGTTTCATCTAATTACGTTTGAGTCATGTCCTCCGGTAAAGGCCTCATTTGGAACCCAGGGTCTAGAGCAGATTATTAATATTTTTACATAATTTATCACAGTCATCTTGCAGACTCCTATGCTGAGAGATTTAACAAAGATGTAAAATAATATATGAGCCAGAAGTCTTTCAAAAGTAACCTGGAAACATTCCGAATAATTAAATATTATACAATAACCCTACAAATTCACAATATTATAAGCCAAAACAGTAAGGAACTCAGAATTAACAGACGCTCCTCAATTTTCATGTCCTGCTCCTTCTCGCTCCCTGACAGAACAGTCAGAGATAAATGGCACATCTTTCAAATAATGCTTTGAATTATGACAGAGCACTTTAGGTTTCATGTTTTGAAGTTGGGGAAACGTTCAGTTGGGTATTGTTGCTGTTTTTAAGTTTTAAACTAATTCATTTACTTCTAGCTCTTGGTTAAGTCATAAGATACAGAAATAAGGACTGCACAGTAGGAGAAATTGAACACAGCAATTTCATCCTTGTAAAACTTTCAAACTTAACTAATGAAGAAACAACTACAGTATGAATTAGTTTCAAGTAAATGTATAATCACAAATTAAGGGTTTAAAAACATCTCCTAAATTTCCAAAAGTGAAAATGTAGGAAAGTCATTATTCGTGTAAAGCAATACGCTTTGTTTTCCGATTCATCTGTATTATGAGAACAAGACTACATTCACCTTTTTCAGGGAAGCGTATTAACTTACGATGTGTATTTACATCCCACCTTGTTCAAAATAATTTAAGAACAAATTAACTTACTGTTCTCTTAAGTTCCACAACTCCTTCCCTCTCACTTAGCAACCTGGTCTCCCCTTATTTGCTAATACCTCTGTCCTTGCTCCAGTCAACCCTTCACCTTTCCACCTCCCTTACAGTATCCTTTTTAAAAGGAATAATTTCCTAATGAGGAAGTGTCAAACACTGCTTACCAGGGGGTATGCTTTGGATAAGAAAATTTTCAAGCAAAGAATTATACTCCTGTATTTCTCAACTCATTAAATGAGGAAACCCGATTCTTTTTTCTTTCTAAAGCTCGTTTTTAGTTCTATTTTACAGACGTAATCTCATGACAGTACAGTGTATAGCTAATTCATTCCCAGATCTCAAGACCCTATGGTATCACAGGGTCGGTTTATGCATGAAGAAGGCATTCATTTTACTTAAATAAGTGACAAAATTTTGAACTTATGAAACAAATACAACCACAATGAACTCATAACCAAACTATGAAAGGACATTTTTTTTCTACTTAACAACACTTACTCTAGGACTTCTTTAAGTGAGCTGACTCAGTGCATTTAAAATAGGAGTCAATTTGCACAACTAGAAGATACAATTTTGCGAGGCCACAATAATTACATAAATTGAGTCGCTCCAAGGAAACTTTACATGTGTTCATGTTGATTTCTCTAATTGCTCTTTTATATTCCATTGACTCAGGCAGATTAACTCTAGTCTCAATGCAAGGATATACAATGATTTTCCCCTTTTGGCCTCCAAAAGCTTCATATAGATATTAAAGGCTTATAAAATAGTTTGGTTAGCGGTGCCTAGGTGGCTGAGGCAGTTAAGCGTCTGACATGGGCTCAAGTCATAATCTCGCGGTTCATGAGTTCAAGCTCCGCGAGGGGTTCTGTGCTGACAGGTCAGAACCTGGAGCCTACTTCAGATTCTGTGTCTTCCTCCCTCCCTCTCTGACCCTCCTCCACTTACACTCTGTCTCTCTTTCTCTCAAAAAAAAAAAAAAAAAAGAATAAACATTAAAAACAATTTTTTTAATGTAATAGTTTGGTTAAAAAAAGTGATTAAGTCCAAAATGAAAATAGGTGGTCTCATACACTATGGTAGGATAAATTCACCAATTTGTTAGCAAGAACCTCACTCACACCTTTTGACCCATAAGTACCCTTTAAGTATCTATTCTAAAGAAGGAATTTGAAACACAGCTAACTAATTATATACAAGATGTTCATCAAACATTATTCATAATAAGAAAACATCAGAAACACTACAATATCAAAGGGAAGTGGTTACATAAATAATAACACTAAACATTATTCATACTTATGGTTATGTTTTAATTTTTTAAGATGAAACTTACATAGGATTCTCAGAACTACATAAAATCTATCTACAAAGAAAACAGACAAACCAAATACCCCCAAATGTTAACAGTCCTTGCATATAAATGATAGGATGGTTTTTTTTCTATTTATAATTTCCTATTCTCTCCAAGTTTTCCACAATGAATATGTATTATTCTATCATAGGGGAAAAAAACAGCAAGAAATAATGAGAGAGTCCAACTGATTAGTAGCAGTAGTCAAAAAGTTTGGACTCTGAGTCCTTGCTGTATAGATGGGAATGCCAGTGCTTAAGAATTAGAGAAAGAAAATATGGGAAGGAGAAAACAGTGTTCCTAAGGCTTTCTTTCAGTTTTTCTAAAAAAAGAAAAAAGAAAAAAAAGCCTGGAAAGCCTTTCCTCCCAAATATACCACCAGCATTAACACCTTATCTTCACTTTATTTCTCTAAGTCCAGGTTTTCTCGACTTTCGCACTATTGACATTTGGGGCCAGGTAACTATTGTGAGGGGGCTGTTCTGTGCATTGTAGGACTGCAGCATCTCCAACCTCTACCCACTGAATATCAGTACATCCTCAAACCACAAGGGACAATGAAAAATGTTTCCAGACATTGCCAAAACTCCCCTAATGCACAAAATGCCTCCAGTTGAGAATCACTGCTCTACATATGCCAAATGTTAATTACCAAGCAAAAGAAATTACTGGAATTTCTTTGGATCTTTATTGAGTATCAATTTCTACAGGTTTATTCTTTTTTTTTTTTTTAATGTTTATTTACTTTTGAGAGACAGAGACCTGGCACGAGTGTGGGAGGAGCAGAGAGAGGGAAACACAATCTGAAGCAGGCTCCAGGCTCCAAGCTATCAGCACAGAGCCCGACGCGGGCCTTGAACTCACGAGCTGTGAGATCATGACCTAAGCCGAAGTTGGACGCTTAGCCGGCTGAGCCACCCAGGCACCCCTACAGGTTTAATCTTCCATAAGACATTCTCCCCCATATACAACAACAAAGTTAAATCTTCCCTTAACATCATATTTTCAGAAAAACAGAAAATAGAAATGAATATTTTCCTATGAAGTGATAAGTAACAAAATAAATATAGCAGTTTAAAATTTGTATATTATATATTAAATTTAAATTAGAAAACTGTGGAAAGTATCCACCAAAAAAAATTTAAAAAACCAAAAAAATAAAAAACCAAAAAACAAAAAAAACAACTTTATTATGTCAAGCATGCTGACAAAATTGGTGGTAAAATAAAAGTTAAATAAGGCACAGTGAAATTAATATTTATAAAGTACCTATACTGACACTTTGCAGTATCTCATCCAATTTCTACTTCTAATAGTATGGCAATTTAATCTCATCCAATTTCTACTTCTAATAGTATGGCAGACCGGATATTCTGAAAAGTCTCCTCTGCTAAAATATGATAGATACTCTATAAGTTACAAAACAAAAACAAACAAACAAACAAAACCCTAACTGTTAACCTATTGTTGAGCTTTCTAGGAAGGAAAGAAAATCTCTAAGAATTCCTTCCAAAAGGCAAAAAAAGGCAAAAAAAAATTAAAAATTGAGCTGAAACCAGAAAAGTGACCCATGTCATACACAAAATGCAGTGTTGCTCAGAAGGCAAACACCAATCAACAAGAGCTATGGCCAGATGAGAGAGCTGAAACGGAGACAGACCTGTTAAACTCAAGACCCTGGAAGAGAAATAAAACTGTTTCCAGGTGTAGTATCCCAGGTTCCCAGCAGAAGAATATGCAAATCTTCTCAGGAGCAAAGCACTTCCAATTTATACTATCGGTATTTGGAAATATTAAGCTCAATAAACTATGAGGTTACAATAAAAATCATCACACAACAAAACATACCACTAAGCTTGTCGGTAGAAACGACATGCTTATACCTACCTCTCCGGAAGACTTTAGATACTGGAGTGATCAAATACAAAACAGAAAATAAATACACTATATAAGAAACATCAAAATAAATAAAAGATGGCATAAAAATAAACAAGATATGTGTAGTTACCAGAATAACCAAGCAACTTAAAAGTCAGAACTTTTAGAAATGAAAAATTATAAATGTAGAAACTAAAAACTCAACAAAGCAGGTAGAGAGATGAGATACACCAAAAAATAAAACTGGTGAATTAGAAGACAGGAAACAAACCACCCAGAAAGCAGCACAGACATACAGGGAGACAGAAAAAAAGACAAAAAGGAAAAAAAGGGATACG